ATGCTTATAAACTGCCTTGTACCTTCCTACCCTGTAATAATCTGGAATGTAAGTATCCAGCTTGAAATTCCTACTCTTCATAGCAGAATGAGCATGAACACATGGGAGCCATGTGACTTCCCATCTTCTGCATGAACATATCTGATCTTTCAGGTTCACAACAAACTTGTCATCTTGATTTTCTATGTGCCTTACTTCAAATATATGTTCATCAGACATCCTAAATGATTAAACAAACAAAAGTACATTAGCCACATGTATGTCATAAATAAACAAAATACATTATTCACATGATGTGACATACCTTACTAGCCAGTTGTTGGTGTATGTGCTTGTGATATCAAGTTTCTTTCTAATATTGGGCAAAATATCATTCTCATCCAAAGTTCCAAATCTCAGTCTGTTATTTGCCCATCTCTCCATCATGTATGTTCTGATGTCTTCTAACATAGTGATTAGAGGTTTTGCCCTTGCTTCAAGAATGACACTATTAAATGACTCAGACATGTTGTTGAGAACAACATCACATTTGTTTTCAGTCCTAAAGTAAGATCTACTCCAAAACCTTGGTGGGGTCTTCATCATATGTTTAAATGCTTCTTCATTGATGACCCTCATTCCCTTCATCTCTTTTTCCTGTGCCTGTGGGTATGTTGACTTGGCAGCCTTCCATATTATGTCCTTCAACATCTTTCCAGGAAACTTTTTTCTAAAATTGTTATAAAGGTGCCTAACACAAAACCTGTGCTCCACCCTTGGCAATAACTCATCCATAGTAGGTAGCAGACCCTGCAATAACATACAATGTAGCATTACAATATAGCATAACAGAAATAGCATAACATAAACACATAAACACATAAAACCATATGAATAAATGAAAAACTTGCCTTTTGTTGGTCTGAGATGAAGGTGTAAGTCAGGCATTCATCTTTGCCTCCAAGGTCATCAATTAACAGCTCTAAAAACCAAGTCCAGCTATCCTTGTTTTCACTCTCCACAACTGCATATGCTATGGGAAGCATCTGATCATTAGGATCCATCCACACAACCCCTTAAGAAAACATCCATCTAGACCTATTACATGCCTGCACAACTTAAAGCTTTCCTTACACGCAGCAAAACATATGTAAAGCCTTCTAAAATATGGTCTTTCATCCTCAACACCTACTGGGACATGCTTAACATTGAGCTTAACTGTTGACCCTGGATTGGCTCTTAACAGTTCATGACAGTAGTCATAGAACCTTGTGTAATCTCTCAAAAAGGAACCATCTACATAGTCTCTAGCTGCGAATCTTGCTCTTATAGCTTTGGTTTTGTTGACCCCAACATTCCACTTTTTTTGTGCCTTCTCCTTGATATCCATTATACTCAACCTTGGATTGTTTTTCAAGCTACTATTTTGAATTCTTTTACTCAACCACTTTGTACTCATCAGTTTCACATTATACTCCCTACTGCAACAGTGTTTAACAATTACTCTAATAATTGTGAGTAGTGATGAGATTCTTGAGATCCAATCTTGTGGGTGCATTGGCCAAACCCCTCAAATTTTAATATATGCACCTCATTTTTCTTCTGCTAATTTCTAAAGGATGTACCTGCTTTAGGGAACCCTTTGGACTTGTTCATATTACCTTGGATTCTCCTTCTACAATCCTCTAAAACATGTCCAATTGCATTGCAATGTTTATAGAAATCATGCAGCTTTTCGTATTCAATATCAACGAAAAAAGAAAAACCTTTCAACTAATATTTTGTACGTTAACTCTGACAAGGTTAATGTCAACTAACACTCTGACAAAATGGCCAAAGGGTCGATCAAACGCAAATTTGTTTGATGTGAAATCAATGCAAATCAGCGTGCCTAGACTACTAGCAATGGAAAAAGTGATCTTGGGGCGTCAATACTCCTGCGAGAGGCCATGGATTCGCACCCAAACATGTGGTGATGTTTGGTTAATATTGGAGAAAATGGAATCCCCTGTCCAAAGGAAGAGCTTCAGGATTCCCGAGTTTAAGTTCCACGACTTAAGAGATCAGCTCCTTGAAATCTTCTACGATCTCTAACACTTCTTTTGGAATTGCTGCTTCCTCCTTTACAACACTCATTAGCCCCTTAATCACCACTGAACAAAAACATTAAGTTTCTTTAACAACTTCATCCATCTCCTTTTTCGCTCTACGTCATCACCAAGAAACTAGACTTCTTTCCTCATGGATTTTGGTCAAAGTGAAAAACAGGAGCCATAAATTTTTGTGTGTTTCCCATGTAAACATCATCATGTTATTCTGTCCTCGATAAGTGATATTATTATTAAACTTCCAAGGTATACCAAGTAAAATAAGAAAAATATCTATATCAAGAATGTCACAAAGTACCTCTTATATGTAATGTTTTTTGATGAAGACATGAACTATGCAAGCTAATGTTACTTAAACTTGGGAGTCCTTGTTTACCCAACTGAGGGTGTATGGCTTCTCATGGAGCTTCTTTGGAGAACATAAAATAATCTACCAATTTCCATGACACCAGATTCTTCGTGCTGCCATTATCCACAATCAGATTACACACGTTGTTCTTGATAGAACAATGTGTTTTAAACAAATTCTTGCATTGCCCTTCATCTTCGGATGCTAATGAAATTCTCCGCAAGATAAAATTTACTCGCTCATCATATTCTATATCTGCAAACTCGACCTCTGCATATTCATCATTCTCAACTGCATAGCCTTCTCTTTTCTCATCCTCCTCCATTTCTTCTGCAACAATAACAACTCTCCTTGTTGGAAAAACATTTGATCTATGACCTCTTCCATCACAATGATAACACGTGTCTTTAGTGGGTTTAGTGTATGGATTAATCTTCCTATAAAATGGTGTTTTATCCTATTGCAAGCCGTTAGAGATGCTAGCCCCCTTATTTTCAGGGTTGGGATCTTTAGTTGTTGCACCCTTTTCCTTATCACTTACTGATTTAAAGTTATTATATGGTGAATATCTTCTAAAAGATAAGAAATTTTGAGAGGACTTCTCTATTAATTCCGCCTTCAAATCTAGGCTTGATGCTTCAGCCACGACCCATATAATCTTTAGTTGTTGCACTCTTTTCCTTATCACTTACTGATTTAAAGTTATTATAAGGTGAATATCTTCTAAAAGATGAGAAATTTTGAGGGGATTTCTCTATCAATTCCGCCTTCAAATCTAGGCTCGATGCTTCAGCCATGACCCATATAGTCTGTAAACCCATATTATCCTACAAGGATCCCTTTAAGCCACTAATGTACCAAACCACTTTTTGAATCTCTAATTCTCCGAATTAATTGCACTCAAAAAGACGCAGGAACTCATATGTGTATTATGTCACAATTCTCTTTCCCTGAACACACTCAATATACATATTATAAAAAATATGTTCACGAACCTCCGGTAAAAACCGCTCGGACATCAATTGGTTCATTCTTCGCCAAGTTCTGACTGACCCCATCCTTTGCCTGTGCCTTTGAACAACAAGATTATCCCACCAGACAACAACATTACTCTTCAGTTTGATCGCCACCATCTTAACTTGCTTGTTCTCATGGACGCAGAACATCGAAGAACCTATCAACGTCGTTTTGGAAATCCAGAAACTCCTTCACTCCCACCGTTCTATAGAATAATGGAATATCAACCTTCACTTAATAGTCGTAGTTATCTTGACGATTCGCACAGACAAGTACTTCCTCGTATGATTCTTCTTCTTTAGAACTCAATTTTCAGCAATAACAACACGATTGTTTCCACCTCGCAAAACCCTAATATGTTCCCATCCCATGTATCTTCGTTGATTCTCGTTGTTGTTGTTCACCTGAGTTGCTAAAGTCTCCATTTGTTCTTTCAAAGCAGTTAGAGTTGTGGTAAAAGCCACAATAATTCTCTCAAGATCTGCTATGGTCATCGGTTGATCTCCCATGGCTGATCAAGCTATGAAAAAAAACAAAAGGAACCTACTACAATGCCACATAACGCAGTTGAAAACACTATAGATTAGTGAGCGCTAAACCTAGAATGAAAATACAGGTTTGCAAGCGACAATCATGTTATATTAAACTCTGGAATCCACCAGGAAAGAAAAAGACTCTTAAATTTTATTATGATCAAAAGATGACATTGACGACCACACCCAAAAATGTTTAAATACATAAAAAGAAAACCATAATAAATTTTTTATCCAAAATAAAAATAAAACGGTAATAAAGTTTTAATCCAAAATAAAAATAAAATAAAATAAAAAATTATAGAAAATTTTAAAATGTGTCACAAACAAATAGATTAAATATTGCAAAACTCTTTTATAGACGGATTTAGCCCATATTATATACATGTTAGACTCTCCTAAAAAGATTTCGATGTACGACAAAATCCTTCCAACAAAGAGACTAAATACTATATATATATATATATATATATATATATATATATATATATATATATATATATATATATATATATATATATATATATATATATATATATATATATATATATATATATATATATATATATATATATATATATATATATATATATATATATATATATATATATATATATATATATATATATATATATATATATCCCAAATCACATTGAAATTGGTGTAAGAAGTAATGGTAAAGATAGTGCCAATATTCCTAATTGATCATGATGCAGTTGAATGATTTTGCTACTGAAAGTCATCCTTAAATCATTCCAAATTTTAACCATGATGATAACATCATGTTCTTTGGAATTAAAACTGAGCAACCATGGCACAACAAGGTTGTTGTTGTTGTGAATCTATAGATAGTATTGGGAATCATCACTCGGAGGCATCATAACAATCACCCACATTTAATTACAATCATCTATCGTATTAGAGATTACAACGCGAAAACAATTTAAAATCTCCACTACATTTACCATGTTCAATTAAAAATCTTATCAAAGTCTTCTTTTGTATCCCACCCCTTCATCTAAACAAATGAGGCAAAAGTGATACCAAAAGAGGAAAAAGAATCACAACAACTAAAATAAGACCAAGAATTATTGCATACAATGTCCACTTCCTAGAACTCTTTTGTTGCACTCTAGCTTCCTGTAATTGTTCTGTCCCTCTACTCACAAAAGAACTAGCATGTGCAACATGACTCTCAATATTATTAAGATGTTGCCCTTGAGATTCTACCAAAACAGCCATATCCAAAAACACTTGATGCAACTCAATCAAATTCTTCTCTATTTCCTTAACAGCATCGTGCCTTTCTTGAATTTCCGATATCGTGTCCATTATTTGGCCTCTACCTTGTTCTTGAATTGCCCTTTGCATAAAATTCTCACTTTCTCCACTAGCTATCAAATTATCTATAGTTTCGTCGTTCGCTTTCTCCCCCGTTATCGTAAAATATCTTCTCTCCACTGTTTCTTTATACTCCATTTGTATTCTACCTCTCAAACCTTGAAAATCATCCATCATATCTTTCAGTTTCTTCCCTAATCCACTAACCACTGATGTTCTTGTCCTATCGGCCGATGAACCAGGACCACACCCTGCAATCTTTCTATTGTCCGCGTTTGAACGATCCAAAACTTCAAGTTTTCCTTTGATTACTTTGACGCGTTTAAGGACTTGTTCTACATCTTTGTCCATTCGGGCGCGAAGATCTTTCATTGTCTTCGCGTTGTGAACAGTTTTACTTTCTTCATTCGCCTCTTGTAATTTCCTATAAAATATTTCAATTGCTTTCATGTCTGCTTTTATATTCTCCACATCTTCAAAAAACTTGTCGAGATTTATTGTTTCTCTATTCCCTGCCTCCACATCATCAAAATGCGTTTCTTCCTTCAAATCAGTGTATTGTTTGAAGGAATTTGAAATCAAGTCGTTCATTTTTGCAGATTTAATCAACAACAACACCCTTGTTTTCTTTTCCTTTAAATCTCATAAGATTATGATATTATGATAGGATTGATATCTAACATAGTGGTACATATTTCCTCATGCAACAAAGATCTATGAGGTAGAAGGTGATGGAAAAACAAGTAATTCTCACCAAGAAAAGGTAATTAGGAAATAAGGACCAGCTAAATTAGTTTGATACTAATTATCAAACAAAGGTGTTAGGTTAGATTCTCCAAAGATTACTCTCACATTAACAAATGGCACTGTTGTTACTAAATGTGGCATTCATTGGATTTGATTTATGACTTGGTCGTCTTTTTGTGTCCTCTAGATATCATCCTTTTAATCTTATTATTTTTAGCATATTATTTTAGGATTTGGATTCTTATTAAATCCTAACATATTACTATTTAAATACTTGATAAACACATAGTTAAATGAAACCCAAGCCATAACTTTTAGTATAACAATATTGACTTTTTTTTAGGACTAAAATATAGTTGTATGGTAGCCACATTTTCACCCTTCTTTAAATTGTGATTATGTCTATAATTTATATGTATAACTTTTTTATCTATTTTTTTTATCCTAATTATTTTTTAATTAAATTTTCTTTATACCATTTTTAATTAAACTATTGTTAACCATGCATTAATAATTTCTCTTGTGTGTGTTTTTTTATTTAATACTAGGTAGATATTAATAAATCATGTTGATAAATGAATACAATTTATTAAGATGTTGTAATATTTAATATTAATTAAAGCATTAAATAAATAATATTGTTGTGAAAGTTAGTCGGAGATTAACTAATAGCACTTAAGAAATTTCGTACCTAATCTATGGATTTTTTAACTATTTTAAAAAATGTTAAGTATTATATATTGTTGGGGCATGCACGTAAGGCCTAATGTTGCGAATGCCAAACTACAAGAAAGTGAATTATCATATGAGGAACATGTATATCTGTTTTTTTCCGTGTTATGCAGTACCTCTCACGAGAATGTTACACTAATCTCCTTACTCAATCCAACGGTTGACCAAATCTCACACTGTTTCACACGTGTGCGGTTATCAATCATGTTTCTTATTTAAAGAGGAAACTGCACCACTCCACAAGTATTAGAATTCTTTCCCATTCAAATTTCACTTTTTATTATCCTAGTGACGTGAGAGTTGAAGTGCTAACTTTGCAAGTCAGTCACTTTCTCCACCACATTAGAAGCTTTGAATCACTGTAAAAAATAGTGAATTCGTCCTTTTTTAGTATCATCTAGTTCCAGAGTAGAACATTGGTGCCGTTTGTAGGAATCAACTTTTGATTCCTGGGATCTCCACGATCTAACCATTCTCAATTAGATTGAATTGCTCCGATAGAAATCCAGATCTCCTTTGATCGAAGCATAAATCTCTATCTAGTGTTCAATTCCATTGATTTAGTGCAAACTTGCTCCATCAAATTTGTCAAATGATGGCAGCTTCCAAAGATACTCTTTCCACCGTTCAACGATAAGCCATTGTAGCTGCTAGAAATTCTAAGCCTCTTCCTCAAAGGATGAAAAATCAAGTTTTAACCACGATTCCTTCCCTTCCTCCATTGAAGAATTTTGTCGAACCTAGGACATATCAAGGAACGTCTCAACTCCCTTCATTCTTCGCATCTAAACTGTTGTTCCACCTTGGAAAACCTTCGTTCCATCCTCCGCTACCACAAACAATGTCAAAACGAGAAGCACTCCCCGGCTTCCAACTCTTGCAGGCTAATATTGGCCAGTGAGCCAAGGACTGTTGAACAATGTGTATCATATGGTTCAACACAAGAACTCATATGCCTTGGAGGATAGGCTAACACAGATCAAAGAAAGTCTGCACAACACCAATCTAAGGAACAACACCGTGCACAAGGCATCCTCACACAAAACTGCCATTCTTGACTCGAGAAAGGATCCAAAAGAGGTCTTAATATCTCCAGGCCAGTGATGACACAAGTGTCATACTCTTTTCTTTTATCTCAAAGGAATTGGAGGCGACCACACTCCCCTAAAAAATCTTCGTCCTAGGAGGAGGGAAAGGTATGAAGAAGATGATCATGCCCAGCCTCGCAAGAAGAACATAGTGTTTGCTCACATCTTAGGCAGGAAAATCCCGAAGTTATTGGAGGAGCCTCTAAAGCTACAGAGTTATAACGAGACTGGATTTCCTGATGAGAATGTCGAGCATCTGGATGACAGACTGGACTACTGTCATGCCGACAAAGATGTGAAATACAAGATCTTTGCATTGACCTTAACCAAATATGCCCTAGCTTGGTACAAGTCCCTTTTGAACAAAAGCATAAATTCTTAATCTAACCTGAGTGAAGCCGTCACCATCCATTTCCCTATCATGAAGAAACAACTAACCACAATGCTCATTTTTAGCGGGGTCACGCATGGTAAGAAGAAAATTCTTGTAACTATATTAAACATTTTATGAAGGTGGAAATATTTATAGAAGGCTCATATAAACGCCTGAAGTGCTTGATTTTTGAGAAAGGCTTAAGATCATACTGTTTGTTTCGGGAGAAGTTAGGGCGTAATGGGAAGCGTAATTTAAAGGACTTGTTGATATGGATGTTATTTGAATATATGTTAGGTATAAACTCTATACATAGATTTAGAGATTTATTTGAATATCTGTTATTTTAATATCTGTTCAATTCATGTTTTTTGAGATTTATTTCTTGTTCTTATTTGATTCTTCAATATATTGCAAATACCTTTGGATTTTTTTATGTGTGTGTTATTGTGCAGAAGTATAGGCATAAAACATCAATGATTAAGAAACAAAGGATTGGACAAGGAAGCCAAAGAAATGAAGATGAATCAGCATGTTTGTTGTGCGAACACCAGCAATCAGCAAGCAAATGTTCATTGTGCAAACTCCTGGCAAAGTTCCAGCGAACCATCTTAGATTAGAGGCAGTAGGAAAAGGATCCAAAGCTTGCTGGGTGAAGTTGAAGCGAAGAAGTTCGTTGTGCGAAGAAGTGCTCGTACGACAAACTCATATATTTTTAAAGGGCGGTTTAACTGTTCCTGAGGCACTTGAAGTGCCTCAAAGTAGACTTCGTTGGGCGAAGGTTGTTCGCTAGACGAACATGACCAAACTTATAAATACTATATAAGTACTTTTCTCACTTTTTAGAAGGATATAATATATTTTTCAGCATAGAACTTTATCTCTCTTCATTCCAAGCACATTCTTGAGAGAGAAACACAAACCCTAAGAGGGAGAAGGCAAAAGCTTCGATTTTTTGTTGGGTTTGAATGTGATCTTTTGATACCTTATATATTTCATCTAATATATGTATTGTGAACAAGTTTTGATTCAATATTGATGTTGTATTTGATTTCTTATTTGTGGATCTTGACAAAAGCTTTTTCAAATCTTAGATCTTAGATATTTATTTGTCAACGAGCAAACTTTTGACATATTACTATTTAAATACTTGATAAACACATAACTAAATGAAAGCCAAACCATAACTTTTAGTATAACAATATTGACTTTTTTTTAGGACTAAAATATAGTTGTATGGTAGCCACATTTTCACCCTTCTTTAAATTGTGTATATGTCTATAATTTATAAGTATAAGTTTTTTTTTATCTATTTTCTTATCCTAATTATTTTTTAATTAATTTTTTTTTACAATTTGTGAGATATTGGATCGAACTCTAGTATATTCAAGGGGCAGCTTCTGTTTCGACAGAAATGCGTGTTGTAGTCGAAGTTTGTTCTAATATGCATTAGTCAATATTGCTAGGGTTGTTAGCATGTTGAATTGGGTCTTGCTTGTAAGCCCAATTGTTTAAGTTAGCTTGTACCCTAAGTTAGCTTGTAATGGGTAATTCTTAAAAAGTTCATTAGGTTAGTGTGCTATTTTTCCTATAAATAGGATGTTAGTTTCTCAATCTTGGCATAAGGGAAAATAGGAAGATAAAATCCTAATTTCAAGAGAGAGAGGTTATTTTGTTATTCTTGTATACTTGTAATCTTGTTCTAAGAGAAAGAAAAGAATAATTGTTTATAACCAATCTTTGTTGTTCCTTTTTGTTTTACCTTATTTTCTTTGTTAACCCTAACCCTTATGTGTTTCTTGATCATAAAAAAATCGTTTATACTTTGTTTCAAGACTTCCGATTCACGACACCATTTTTAATTAAACTATTGTTAACCATGCATTAATAATTTCTCTTGTGTGTTTTTATTTAATACCACATAGATATTAATAAATCATATTAGTAAATGAATACAATTTATCAATATGTTATAATATTTAATATTAATTAAATCGTTAAATAAATAATATTGTTGTCAAGTTGTTGTGAAAGTTAGTCGGATATTAACTAATAGCACTAAGAAATTTCGTAACTAGTCTATGAATTTATTAACTATTTTAAATTATTTTAGGTATTATATATTGTTGTGGCATGCAAGCAAGACTTAATGTTGTGAATGCCAAACTATAAGAAAGTGAATTATCAAATGAGGAACATGTATACCTGTCTTTTCTCGCATCGTGCAGCTCCCCTCACGAGAATGTCACGCTAATCTCCTTACTCAATCCAATGGTTGATCAAATCGCACACTGTTTCACAGGCGTGCGATTATCAACCATGTTTCTTATTTAAAGAGGAAATTTCACCGCTCCATAAGTATAAGAATTCTTTCTCATTCAAATTTCATTATTTTATTATCTTAGTGACATGAGAGTTGGAGTGCTAACTTTGCAGATCAGTCACTTTCTCCACCACATCGGAAGCTTTGAATCACCGTAAAATATAGTGAACTCGTCCTCTTTTACTATCATCTAGTTCCAGAGTAGAACATTGGTGCAGTTTGTAGGAATCAACTTTTGATTCCTGGGAGAAACAAGGGGTCGAAGGAAGCCTTAAGAGGCGCGAAGAAGCAAGACTTGTATACTGTTGCACCCCAAAATTTGCCCTCG